CAAAACGTAATCTACTTTCTGGATAGCCCTCGTATATAGGTCCTTTATAAAAGATTTTGCAGCTATCGCTGAGCCATTGTTAAAATTAAAAAGGAAAAAGGCAGATTGTCGTGGCGGCGAAGCCAATAGTGCTTTCGAAAAATTAAAACAAGCATTAACGCAAGCCCCTGTGTTGAAATTTCCTGAAAAGGATGAGAATTAGAATTTCAGCGGATGCTTCGGATTATGCGTAGGAGCGGTACTTTCGCAAAATCACAGCCCGTGGCATTTTTTAGCCGAATTAAATCAAACACAAAGAAACTATTCCGCGACCGAGAGAGAGGCACTTGCAGTTCTGTTAGCAGTGCAAAGTTCCGAGTCTATTTTGGAAAGGCGCCAATAACAGTGTACTCTGATCATGCGGCGGTAACTAGATTGTAATCAGGGAAAAACTATCCCCAAGGTTAATAAGATGGGCACTCAAGCTACAGAATATAATCTGGTATCAGCATACCCCCGGAAAGGAAAATATCGTAGCAGATGCCCTATCAAGAATTAAAATAGATGAACAAGGTAATACGGTAAAGGTGGCAATGCTCACAGCACGTACAATAAATTCCCGAGAAACTGTAATAACCGAACTGGGAAAGATCCTGAGTTTGGAAGCATTTATGAGTATTTAAAGGATCCTGAAAATTTTAGCCACCAAGATATTGTGGCGATAAGAAATATGGCGCCCATTACGAACAATAGATGGTCGATTATTTTATACAAAACTACGAATTCCAACACGAATTTCGACCTGTTATCCCAGCTAGTCTTAGATTAAATATCCTGCAGGAGCTCCATGACAGCCCTTTAGCTTCTCATGCTAGTATTCGAAAAACCATCCAACGCGTACGCGAGGCAGTCTATTTTCCTGAACTGCAAAAGTTAACAAGGGCGTATGTCCAGTCCTGCCCAACATGTCAAGCAGTTAATTACATCAATTTCCGCCCGGCCGGTTTCTAAATAGTATTAAATCCGAATTTCCAAATGAAATAATTGGCATCGATTTTGGGCCCTTTCCCAAAAAGTCAATTAAATAAAAGTCGCATCTTCTTGTTATGGTTGATCAATTTAGTAATGGACCGAAATGTTCCCTTAAAACGAGCCTCCGCGAAATTAGTTACTGATTCTATTTTAAATAAATATATTTTAAAATACGGGCGCCCCTAAAAGTTATATCGGATAATGGTCCTCAATTGTAAGTAATATATTTGAAGACATGTGCCAAAAACTGGGCATACGTCATTTAAAAATGGTCCCGTATTGGCCGCAATCAAATATAGCGGAACGGATCAATAGAAATATAGTGAAATTATCCGTAGTTATGTTAAAAATTTTCATAAAAGCTCGGATAACTATGTCAATGAATTTGCTTTCGCCTTAGGACCGCAAAACATGATACAACGGCAAAACTCCTGCTGAGTATTTTTAGGCAGAAAGATTATAACGCCGTTAGATAAATTATTTTATGTGCCCAAAGAGCCCCAGAATTTAAAATGGGTGATATAGAAAAACTAATTAAGGAAGCAAAGAAAAATACTGAAGTAGCACAGAGAAACAGAAACTTATTATGACTTGAAACGACGGGAGTAACTTATAAAGTAGGGAATGAAGTTTTAAAAATTAAGCATTCACTTTCTTCAGCACCAGAAGATAAAACTGCCAAATTTTTTCCACGATTTGAAGGACCATATGTTATAGAGAAAATAACTCACGCTGTAGTAGTGTTAAAAGCTAGAAATGGTGAAACCTGCTCCGCAAACGTTGATCAAATCAAACCCTACTATGATCGTAATGAAATGAAAATTTTTAAAGATCTTTTGCAGGATCCGGCACGGCAGACACCGCAGGCACAAGCTCCAGAGGTGGAAAAAAGACAAGAACAAGGGCAAGCCATTAAGAGGCAGGAGCAAGTGAAAAGAAAGTTTCCCCGCGGAAAAATTGAAGGTAGCAAGAAAAAGAAGCCGTTCCACCGTCCAGAAAAGAGAGTTCAGAACACCCCAGAATGAAGAAGGAGAAGGACGACGTATGCAAAGAGAACCAGGAGAACTGACGGCAACTATAACCCGGCTCTAAAACGGAAGATCTACTCATCCGACAGGACTCTCCGCAGCAAATGTCACCGAACTGCGGAAGGGCCACCAGCGACGGAGGAAAGTTACAAGGAAAATTTGAACGGCCAGCAACGAGGTCCAAGCAGGAACACGAAAGAAGTTTCCCGGTTCCGCCAAGACCAGCTGCCATCAAACGACCAAGACCCAGGCAGAAGCGAAAAGAAGGTATTCAAGGGTGACAGAACTGGAGAAAAAAAGAAAGCATCTGGAGGAAGGAACTGAAGGGTGAGCCCGTACAAGAAGGAGGATAAATCAAAAACTATCTGCACTACCTTTAAGGACTGGGCCCAGAAAGAATGGCCGAATATCACAAAGATAAGTAAAATTTTATGTTACTTTGCAAACTTAAGTTAATCTTTCATTCTTACTGCAAGTGGCAGATTTCAAGAAGTTTTACCTCATGCGAGGTCTACCTTTATCGCCAAAAGGGCGAGAAATGAGTTGTTACCGATTTTGGTATTATGTTTTTTCAATTACTCGCACGTAAAACTAAAGTTGATGTATAATAGCATTGTGTAAAGACTTAAATATTGTAAAAAGTTATTGTATAAATATTATTTAAAACATTCCTGGCAAGAAAGAAGTTTTAGTCTGAAAGACTTTTGAAATGTATTATTCAATTGTAGAAAGAATTGGCACTTGCTTTGAAAAGAATAGAAGTTAACAATGTACTACTAATGTTTTTTCAATGTATAAAATTAACGGCATGTTAATATGTTCTTATATACAATGTGAACTGTTATTTTAAATGTTAAGAAATACCGTGATATGGTAAAAGTGAAAGTAATGTTAAAATTTTTTTTTATTCGTGTGACTGTAAAAGACTAATCGTGGTGAATATGTGTTAAAGGTTGACTAATGTAGTTAGGCTCTCTGGCGCTACACTTCAGAGTTAGCCACTTTCAGAATAGTACCTCAGGGTCTAGAGTTGAAATTAGGGTTGTTACGAGGTCTTGGTATGTTGAATTTTAACACGTTTAGTGTTTTGATTGTAGGAGGAAGTGTTGAAACCATAGAATAAACCATTCGTGTCTGGTGTTTCTTTTAACACATGTCAGAGAGCACGGGGAGATAATTAAATAAGAGTATGAATAAAATGAATAAAATGAGAATAGAGTTTTAAAAGAAAAAATATACGTGTTCATGCTACTTGCCATTTAATTGCTTAACAAAATTTATTAAACTAGTTTTCCTTCCAGAGATAAGATGAAAAGATAATTCCTGTTTTTAGGTGCAGTAATAGATGAAGAATACTTGTTCTTGTAGAATATGTTGTAAAACTGCTTTTTATATAATTTTTAGGTTAGATAGTTTAGCGAGGAGTTTTTGTAAAAGATTGGCGTCGCGTTAGACTTAGAATTAAATTTTTTCAACAAGGTCGTTTAGACCTTATTTTCAAACTTCTTGATTCTGGTGGGAAGTATGTAAGGATCTTAAGTTTGACTAACGTTTATTTTATTTTAAATCTTTACTATCACTTCTTATTTTCTACTTCCGGCCAGAATTATAAGCTTTAAAGTATTTATGCAAAGTTTGTCTGGCGAACGCCAAGTTGTGGCTTTTTGCCAAGCGAGAGAGAGGAAGCAGTGAGTCGAAGCAGGCCGCTTACCTTAGAAGTTTTACGCAGTTGCTGGTTGCCTTCCAGGCTAGAGGTTTTAATCCTCTTGATAAATTTTAAACGTATTGTAGTGTTCACAGTTATCTGTACTACATACGGCTTCCTGTTAATATAAGGCCAATCTTCCACGTTTATTATTTTAAAGTTAAATTAGAGTTTAGTTCTATTTTTATATTTTTACGTTAGACCCCAAGTAGCCGGTCTGTGTATTCCGAAGTACGGAAGTTATTGTAAATAGAGAAAAATAAAGGGTTTTGTATACCCTTCTTGTGTATCCTGTTTACCTCCCACACTTTTGAACATAGCTTTAGTAAGCTCTCTGTTCCGAGTCAGGTCCTTGCATGTTCCCGAAGAAGGTTAGACGGAACATTGAACCTGATAAGTTTTACATCTACATGCTTATTATCTGTGAATTTTTACTACCATATGCTTGTTTTGTCTGCTAACTTGAATTTACATGCACTAAAAATCACGTTTAAAAAATATCACATTTACAGCTCGGCTCATCGTCGATGAACCGCGAGCTTGGCGAGTAAAAATGCAACGGCGACAACGGATTCTTTCCCGAAGTGCCAACGGGTTCTCTGCGGATGAAAACCCCAGAAATTCTAAAAGATATGTTCATTTTAAAATTACTTGGTAAAATCCTAGTATACGGTGCAGCCTTGGCGCGATTTTAAAAATTATCACCAACACCAAAAATTACCAAAAGAACGTCTATTTATATATTTGTGATAGTATACTATACACTATATATTATATATTATCACTATATACATAATATATACTATGTATAACTATATATATTCTTTGAATACCCGTTTACTACTTATCGTATATGTCCCGTTTTTATTGCTCATCATAAAAGTAGCCAAATCCTGCGTGCACCGGATACTAGGATTAAACCACTTAATTTGTGATATTTCTGTTGAATTTAATTTTATGGTGTAAGTGCAAAGAACATGATATTTAATAAATAAAGGTAACACATAAAACGTTAAAAAAACGCCCCTGTGGGCACAATGTAAAATCTGAAATCTTTCAGATTTTAAAAGTTTTGATTGTATTTTATTCTTTTTTTAATTCTCCATTTCAAGCGGCTTTCCGTCAAACTACTGTACTTTAGAAAATCAAATTTTTAGTTGAACGTATGGTAATTTTCGATGGGTTAATTTTATACACACATAATACAGTGCCTCCAACTGAAAGTTTGGTCAAATTATAATTTAAGTTCTACTTACAAGGTAAAACGTAATCCGTTTTCTGAAAATGTTTAGAACAAACGCACATTCTTTTGGTAATTTCTCTTCCAATCCGTAAAGCACAAATCCACTTCAACCTTCGCCAACGAGCAACATCATCATTACTTTTTGTTAATCTAGGAAATTTATGAAAACTTAATTCAGGATTCGTAGAGCCTTTAGATTTACACTGAGGAACGCAGCAGTAAGTATTGTCTTTCTTACCTTTGTAAATTTTTTTACTGTTATATATAATTTTAATCATATCGGACAACACACATAAACTAAGAACTATAGCCCGCGTTCATTCGCAAAATGACTAACACATGCACTAGATCAAAATGTAAACAATATACCGCTGAACAACACGTTGCCAGTTTTATATAAGAAGTAAATTCTACGGTGTAAATTTGGAAGCAACTTTGCGTTGTTTGCTTGCATTATTATGAATTGAGATTTTTTTTTATTATTATTTGTGGAATTGTAAACTGTAATACTTGATTCAAACTGGAATACTTGATAAATTCCTTTTCAAATTTCATTTTGCTTAACTTATAAGCGCTGTTTCAAGGAGAAATCGCGTATACACCTGGCTACCTTGGCCGAAGGCCCTACCCCTATCGAACAAAATCTTAAAAAATTACTAATTATGTCAGCATTAACACAAAGAGAATTTCTAAATAATAAAAAAATGATCTATATGAAGAGATTTAAGTAGAAAGTTACATAATAAATTTGGTCACAAGTAACTTTAAGGTACGTCGTTATATTATAATAAAAAGGTAATAAAGTTAAGCAAAATATTAACATTAACTTATTAATAACAAGTTAATATAAGATCAGAATTTAAAATGTGTAAACTTATAAATGTTCTCTAAACAATCATTAGTATTTTTTTTTTTTTTTTTGAAGAGCAAACTCGATGTATAACAGTGAGCCTACAACTCAACACAGGTAAGTTAATTTTATGTTGTCAAACATGGAGGACGACGCTGAGGAAATGTGTGAACTTCGTAATATGAAAAACAGACAGTATCGTCATGCACGTGAATGTGAAGAAGATTCTGATTCAGAAAAAGGGAATGAACATTTTTCCGTTGATAAACAGGACTCAGACATGGCGTCTGTCATGGGATTCGCGAGTTTTGGAAAGAAAGCTCGAACATTTGACTTTGAAGCACTATTTGAACAAACTAGAAGAGCTGCAAAAGAAAAATTTGAGAAGAAACATTTAACGGATGAAGGAAAATCTATTAATGCGCATTGTGGTAAATCGTTTTCAGATGAAAGTACTGCAAAAACTAGTACTAATATCTCATCTTCATCTGATGACGATTCTTCTGAATCCGATAGTGAATTAATTGGACCCCCGGTACCAAAGAGTTTAGAGGAAGATTCGGCGAAGAGTAGAATATCCGCAGCCGAAGTTGACCAAGATTTTGAAAATGACGAAGAATCTTTGGTGATGTTGAATGAGAGATATAAAACTATTCCTGCTAGCCATGAAGTACATTTGGAGCATGGTGATAAAACTGTTTCTGCACTAAGCTTAGATCCCAATGGAGCTCGTTTAGTTACTGGTGGTTATGATTTTGATGTTAAATTTTGGGATTTTGCTGGAATGGATGTATCTTTGCAGTCATTTAGGAGTTTGAGACCTTGCGAATGTCATCAAATTAAAAATCTTGAATATAGTGTTACGGGGGATGCTATACTAGTGATTGCTGGAAATTCACAAGCAAAAATACTTGACAGAGATGGATTTGAACTTATGGAATGCCCTAAAGGTGATCAGTATATTTCTGATATGGCCAAAACAAAAGGACATTGTGCTATGTTAAATGACGGTTGTTGGCATCCACGTACCAAAGAAGAATTTCTCACTTGTTCAAATGATGGAAGCGTACGGATTTGGTTGATGGATGAGAAAGCACAACAACAGAATGTGATAAAGCCAAGACAGCAAGGTGGTTTGCGTGCCTTACCTATATCTTGTCGATACAGTCGAGATGGACTTCTTGTAGCAGCTGCTTGTCAAGATGGCTCTATTCAAATGTGGGACCACAGAAAGCATTTTGTAAATACTTGTCTTTTGGTTCGAAATGCTCACGACAGGGGTACCGACACATCATCTTTGGCATTTTCGTATGATAACCATTATCTTGCTTCGAGAGGTTGTGATGATACGTTAAAATTGTGGGATTTGAGAAATTTCAAACAGCCTATAAATGTGGCTGGAAATCTGTTTAATAGATATCCAATGACTGATTGCAATTTTAGTCCTGACGACAGTTATGTTTTTACAGGTGTATCCTTAGAAAAGCATGAAAAGGTTGGAAAATTAGTATTTTTTCATAAAAATACTTTCCAAATTGCATATGAGCTAGATGTAGGGGATTCAGATGTAGTAAGAAGCTTGTGGCATCCAAAATTGAACCAAATTCTTGCAAGCACAAAAAAGGGTATTGTGAAAGTATACTATAATCCAGAACTCAGTGAACGTGGTGCTAAATTGTGTGTTGTAAAAAGCAAGAGAAAAGTCAAAAATGCTGAAATGATATGTGAACAGCAAATCATAACTCCTCACGCTCTACCCATGTTCAGAGTTGATAAGCCAAGGAGTACTAAAAAACAAATGGAAAAAGACAGGAAAGATCCTGTTAAATCTCAAAGACCAGATCTTCCAGTTACGGGCCCGGGCCAAGGTGGCCGTATAGCTTCAGCTGGTAATACATTATCTTCTTTCATCGTACGAAATTTGGGGCTAAAGAAGAAGGTGGATGATACGTTAGATCCTCGAGAGGCTATTTTAAAATATGCTAAAGAAGCAGAAGAGAATCCATATTGGGTGACACCAGCATATTCTAAGACTCAACCAAAACCTATTTTTGTTACAGATGAAAAAAGTGATGAACCACCGAGCAAACAAATGAAAATGTAAACTTAAAATGAGCCGAAATATTCCGTTTGCTGAAAAATACATACAAGCATAGTTGACATATTCTAAGAATTAAGCTAAAACTTTAGAAGAGAAATAAAAATTGATAAATGTTAGCAAAAGAAAAACTGAAGATATTTTTGTTAGTTTTTATAAATAATAATTGATTCTGCTTACAATAAAAATGTTATTTTATGAAAAAGAGAAGCACCAATATTTTAAAATAGCTTAATTCTGGATATATGATTTCATAACCCATTTCTAATCATCGATATTGTTGCGTGAGTACGGGTTCGTTATGAAATGAATGCACTGTACTTTTCCATTTTGCCGCCGCAAGCGATAAAGTCGCCAATAATGGTACAACCAATGCCAAATGGAATATTCTCGCTGGTAACCTTTTACGCCTCATTTTTAAAATAAGTTGCAGCTTATTCTTATCAGATTGATTGTTTTCTTTCAATACTGGCATATAATTACATAGAATTTTTATCATAGTTCAGTTTTATGTCTAAGGCCATTTTCGGTAATTAAGTCAATTAGGATGCAATCACAGCTCTTACCAAAGCCAAAAATATAGAAAAGGAAAGTCAAGGGTTAAATTCATCAATTCTAATGAGAATGCATTAGTGAAGTAAAGCACTGCAGTTTTACATAATTTCTAAGTAAGCTATTCGTACACATTGAAATATTTCCTGCATTTAAACTTGTGTTCCAAATTAAGATTTAACTTGAAATGAATGTAGATAATTACTGAGAGCATTAGATTTTTGTAGAGTAGTTTATGTGAGATGAGATCGCTTGGGGTCACGTGATATGAACCGCCGAATTAGGATGTTGAACCATGAAAGCATAGCAAATTCCTAAATTAATGTCTTTTATTGGCTTTTTATAAAGTTTTAAGCGATATTAAAATGTTTATGCCGTAAAAAAAGAATTCTTAGAACTAAAATTTTTTAAATATTTTTTATGTGTATACTGTATGTTGTCACCAATAAAGTCTGCTTGGTGAGATTTGCGCCGGCGAAACGGAAAAGTACCGAATGCACAAGTGAAAAAAATGAACAAAATTTATTATTATCACAACAAAAATGCTTGAATTTTTTCAGATATTCATGCAGTATTACAATAACTCACAGTAGTTATCTTTTAACTACTCAAACGTTCAATAGAACTTAATTCAAAACAGCTAAAGAAAGCTAATCCGCGAATTCGCTACAGTCAACAAGAGCAGTTTTCTAAACAAACTTGAAACAACTAACTAAAATACAACGAATTGAGAGGTTTTCCTCCTTTTATAAGATTTTAAATCGCGCGAGAGAATTTTCTGGAACTTTCTCGAAATCAAAAAGAGATTTATTTGTTAAATGCACATGCTCTTGTATTTTTAATTTTCCGTCTTAGCTTTCCTTCAATATTCATCATGCGCTACACTGCACGGGAATAAAACAATTTAATTTATATTTCAACTAGCGTTACCTATTTAAATACCAAATCTGTAACAATATATTATGATGCATTATCATAGTTTCATCATATTATGACAGGAAAGGTAGACAAATTTATTATTTGTAGTAGTGTCTGTGGATAAGATGTTTACTAGTGCACTATCAGGTAACAAATAGCATTGAGCAGTTAATCTAAAGTATGTTAAATTTCCATTTTCATTATTGTTAATCAGCTTAATTTAGTTAGAGACTTCTTAAATAATAATATAACTTTTTTAATATGATAGACTAATATCTAAATATTAAAGATTAAGCTTTTGACATCTTTAACCTTCTCAGCATTATGAACGGATTTTGGTTGATCTTTACATTATGGTAACTTGGCGAAAATTTGGCGACCAACTCTCCTACAGCAACCCTCTATTTTTTTTTTCCCGCCGCCATTTTGTCTTCACGAAGTAAAGACATGTTCTTTTTTTTATCTACTGAACACTTCTTCCAACAATCTACTAGCCGAATTACACTTATGCTAGAAATTTTATCTAAGAAAACTGCTTAATCATGAGGAATATTCACGTGCAAAATTGGGAAAAAGTGCACAATGGACCATACTCCTTACACGCGTTTTTCAAAATAACACATACACATAAACCATGTACACGCCGACTTATTTTTACTTAAAAAAACATCCCAGAATTGCACAAAAATGGCATTGCGCACACTCTTCACTATATCCATGTACACTGCTTTTTTCTCATAAATTAGAAAAATTTCACGAAAATACATGACAATTTTCTCAATCTTTAAACCCGGTAAAAAGAACATATATGAAATTACGTGATCGCGAAAAAGTATTTACCCTTTCCAAATATGAAAATTTCCACATATAAAATAAATAAAATATCCAAAAACTTTTACCTCTAAATCATCTATTACATTATATACGTCACCAACGAATTCATACCGCAACCATTACAAATACTTAGTGTCAGATATTTAAATTTTTTCCATGCACGTTTACTTCAACTAAAACGTATACCAAATTCCTACAAATATAAAATTCACAAAATAACTATCATTTAATTAAAATATAATTAAATTCAAAAAACACTACTTAAAATATAATGAGCACATACATTAAATAATACATACATAAATACCCATTTCGAATTCACTTTACATACGGCCATGGGATCCAAAAATTCATGAACACTGTTTCACACAACACACTATGAAGCTAAATACAAAATGCTAAACGCAATAAAAATTTCCAGATTTTTTCCCTATTTCCCCCCTTTTCCGATTAAAGAACCGTAATTCATCCATTAATATCACATGACATATCCCATGATCTCTCATTTCTCTCACACAAAATAATGCGTAATCGGAACTGAGTACTGCTCACATTATTACCAAAGTCCCAGGTAGTAACCTTTATCACCTCCAAAATGTCGCCAAACTACCAGTTACCATATTGTAAAGATCAACCCGGATTTTTCCGTATTAAAAGATGGCTTTCCAAATCGTCAAGCACAGATTATTTTGCCAAATTTTGATGAATCCGAAAGCATTTCAAACGATTTTTTCTACCTTACTTTTTCCGCCTTGAAATCGTTGAGGACGGAATATTCTCTACTGTCGTTCTGTCCGACCTCCTGTTGCGCTTAATTGGTAGTGGGGAAACAGCAATCGTTAGAGAAAGATGTTACAATGGGAGGGTCATAAATAAAAACATCAAATCTACCCGTACCATCTGCCGACCTGAAGGCGATTTTCATGCCGAAACTGGAAAATACTGGAAAGCCTTCAACACAAACTTTTCTGTATGTGAAAAAATTTGCGAAACAAATTTTCTTCTGCAAAAGTAAATGTAATTTGCACGGAACCCGTGAACAACTTTTAAAGAATTCAGCATCGGCTAATTTACAAATAATTTTTTTTAGCATGGTATAAATACTTAAACAGGTATCATACAATGACTGTAGAAACAGAGAAATTTAATATAATTTTTGTTTTAGCTGTGGGCATTGATTAAAAACACTGTATTTTTTAAAATTATTATAACTGTTCACAAAAAGAGTTACTTCAATCAAATCTTGCAATTCCATTCTCAAACTATGATGTGTCATTTATATGATTGTATCGAAATTCATTTAGTTGTGTGAATGGTGAAGTATTGGACATTTTATTATTGAAATATGAAGACAATGTGCGTTTCCTTAGAGAAAAATTCGTTTTACTCTTCTGATTTCTCGTCTAAAACGAACTACTGAGAAACTTCTTTGGCATGATATGAAAATCATTCGCAAATAATATCGTATTTGAATAAATCGTCTTTTGGCGTTGATAAAATAAAATACTGAAAGTACATGAAATCGCATGAAAATGTATTTTTACCCTAAACAAAATACTTCCGTTTTACTGAAAGTGTTATCGAATAAAAAGGTCCGAACAATATTTGATTATGAATATTTTACTGTTATGAAGATGTGTTTATTTCCAAATTTCAAAATGGTTGGGACATAAAATTCTCAGCAGGTAAGAGTAAATATTTATGAAAAATGGTTGTGAGAGGAAAAAATGTAAACTTTTTATAAAATCGTCACAAGCATTATGCAAAGGTGGAAAAAATATGATGGTGATCTGGGTGATGCAAAAAATTTCGAAAAAGGAAATAAGGAGTTCCGATTATTTGTCAATATCAAGATTTGAAATGACACAATTAGATGCTCAGATAAAAATAGACAACTCTAACTTTCACGGAGGACTTTGGATATGAAAACAATTTGCTATTTACGAGTATGGTTAATTAAAACAAAGGAGGGCTATCTCTGTATGGGAAGGAATGCCTTCTTCTAAGACTTTTTAAAGAAAACTGGCTCGTATTTACGATACAAGTGGGAAAACTCAATTCCAGATCAAACTACTAGTGTTCAGTAACGTTACTGCTCGACCGATAGTGGACATCATTTATGACTAAGGACTGATAAGCTATGTTAAATTAGGTACTGATTACCATTTATTTTTAAATTCATTAGTTAGTACTTATGCTTGGGGTTTTACTAAAAAGGCCAATATATGCAAGTATTTCTTGAAATCAGTTTTCACATTTTATTGACATTTTATGTGCAGTTTATATGGCATCCTTCCTTCACGTCCACTCGAATGATTTCACAGCCTAAGAACAAAATAGAACTATTTAAAATTAAATATCTATGCTTCGCTTGAAATATTTCTCTTTGGTTTGGTTTCCTTGAAAAAGCGCTTGAAGGCTATCTGAATAAGGAGGGATGCCTTCATGGAGAATTGTCTAAGAGAAAATGGTTTCTATACATGTTACACAATGGAAAAATCAAGAAAAAGGTCCATGCAGCCAGCCCGTTTGCTGGGATTCGAACCGAAATACCCGTGTTCAGCAATTTTACTGCTTGGCCGTTGGTGGGCGCATCACCTTTTGAGATAATTATCATAATATTATATGTTTTAATGGGCATCAATAACAATCAGTGCTTACTGTTGTGATTTACATTTCCAGTGATGTAGTAATTAATACTCTTGTGTATTTGACGGCTCTGTGCTTAAGAGCAGTAAAGCTTCAACCGGAGGACTTTCATAAGCAGAACTGGCTCATATCCACATTATATACATGAGAAAACCGCCGTAATTAATACAAATGTGGGAATATTTTTCTTGTAACTGTCAATGATACCAATCGTACGGATTTGATATTCATTTTCGTAGGAAAAATACATTG